GAGGCGTTCTCAACTACAGCTTCTGGTTCTTATTTCTACTTTTTACTGCTGTTCAGAGTGTATTTGTACATCCTTATGTCACTTACGAACATTTCTGCTCAGGTGAGGACGTTCGCTCTCATCACTTAACCCCCCAGTTTCCCCCTGACTTGGTAGCTTTTATTTTTGCTTTTTGGGTCACATCCAGCCGATGCTCAGGGGTTACTCCTGACTCTGCACTTAGGAATCACTCCTGGCGGTGCTTGGGGGACCATATGGGGTGCTGGGAATCGAACCCGGGTCGGCCGTGTGCAAGGCAAATGCCCTACCCGCTGTGCTATTGCTCCAGCCCGGACTTGGTAGCTTTTAGGAGGCTGGTGGGACGGGTATTTTCTGGGGGTCCTTACAGCAGAGTCTGCACCTCCGCTCTCGGCCCCAAGGGGGCAGCAGAGGGACGCAAACGGCGGCTTGGACACCAGCGGGGAGAGAGCAGAGAGGGGCAGACAGACAGACTGCTCCCCCCTGCTCCCCCAAGCCTTCCTCGCTCCCTTCTTCCTGGCGGGAGGCCACACCTGGCGATGCTCAGGAGTTACTTCTGGCTCTGCATGAGGGGCCATATGGGTGCAGGGACTGAACACTGGCCTGCCCAATGCGAGCTCCCTACCTGTTGTGCGGGCTGCCGGGTCTGGGGGTCAGGGTGCGGCTGTTGAGTCCCTCCGTCCTCTGTGGACCCAGTTGGTGACACGTGCAGACTCCGGGCTGGGATGGACCATGACAGGGCCCCGACAGCCCCCAAGTGCCTCCCTTCCACTTAAGCCTCAGACACAGTGTGCGTGTGTGTGTGTGGGGGGGGAGGGTGTGATTGTCCCGGGTCACTGGGCAGGAGCCCCTGCTCATTCCCCTGCCATCCCACTGGTTTGTGCTTCCAGACTCAGTTTCCCCATCTGGAGGCAATGAGTGGCTGGCAGGGCCAAGAGTGACAGGAGATGGGGACAGGGATGGGGAACTCCCACACCGAGGACACCCTCCTCCCAGTCAGCCACCAGACAGGCCAGATGGCCAAGGGACCACGTGCAGCAGCACCAGGACCCAGACCGCTCCCTAGCTGGGACACTGACCACCTCCCCCTCCGATTCTGCTCCTCCAGACCCTGGTCTTGCTTCTGCCACTGAAGGACGGGCTGTTCAGTGCCAACTCGATCCCCAGAGACAGGAGCTGGTCCCCAAATGTGCCACAGAGTGGGGCTCAGTCATCGCCGAATAGTTGGAGCCAAGACTGGGGTGTCCCCCGGGGTCACTTCTGTGCACCAACACCTCCCACCCCGCTCTGCCCTGCTCCCTGGAACGTCACCTGGAAACACACCAGCCCCAGGGCACGCCGCACACCCAAAGCCCTACAGCTCCTGGGGTAGCTGAGCCAGTGGGCCGATCCTGACTGGGTTCAGGAGGGTGTTTCTGTTGGGGGGCGACACCCGGTGGGCTTATTCCTAGCTCTGTAGTCAGGAGTCACACCTGATGGTGCTCGGGGACCATCTGGGGTGCTGACATTAGGGTTTTCCTGCGTGCTCTGCCATCCTCTGAGCCTGGGGGAGGGGGCTGCTGCCGAATGATTACGGCGCCCAAAAATTGGGCTAACCCGGGGAGGGGTTATTAGGAGACTTGCCGGCCTGGTCTTTGTGTTCCCAGGCTCTGCTCTGGAAGGTGTGGAAACAGGAGGTGATGCAGGAGGCTCACAAGTTCATAAGATCTGTGGAACCCACAAGACAGGTCGAAAGCAAAATGGATTCGAGTCTCTTGGAAACTAGGAATTCTGTTGTCCATTGCAATAGCTTTTAGGCTAGATCTTATGGTCTATAAAAAGTGCAAAATTCCCACCTTCAGACTCCACGTGCTTTTGTACATAACCCCCACCCCACCCCCCCAGCCCACCTCGGTAGCCTTCAACCAGAATGGTCAGTACTTGAGGATGGTTGAGCACAACTGTTTGGACTCTTGAATAGAGGTTCTCACAGTAGAATGTCCCTGGGGGCCCCTGGCAGGCAGGGAGCCCTAGTGAGGGAGAGTCCCAGGGCGCTGTGGCACTGAAGCCCAGTAGAGGCGAGGGCAGGACAAAGCTCAGCCCAGGGTCTGGCCAGTCTCTGCTCTCCCACCACAGGGAGCTCAGACCTCAGTGCAGTCTCCTGACCTTTGAATGAGGCAACTCATAAGACGCAACAGGCTTGGGGACCGGTCGTGCAGACACGGTAAGAAGCCAGGCCAGCAGGCTGTCAGGGGGTGGCCAGGAGCCCGTGCCCGTGCAAGGGGAACAGGTGTGAACACAGACACCCCAGACGGGGGCGGCAGCTGTGGTGGAGAATGTTTAAGCAGCTCGTGAAGGACACACAAGGTGACCAGCAGAGGCAGGGGCGGCCGGAGGCCTGCGGGTGTGGGCAGAGACAGCACAAGCACTGGTCAGATGTAGCCAAGAGTGGGCAGTGCAGAGAGCAGGGCCAGCAGGGCAGGGGGCGGAGCTGGGCACAGGAGGCCCACGACTCTGGGTGCAGAGGAGGGAAGGACTCCGGTCCCCAGAGACCTTGTCACTCCCCGCTCCTGCACCGGCTCCTCTTGGCCTCTACACCCAGGCCATGACCTTGGCTCTGTCCTTGGCCCACAGAGCCACTCTCTGCATGATGCCATGCAAGTTCCGAGAGAGCCATCACCCAGAGGTCGGCTCAGCTTCCTGCCCCTCATTCCTGAGTGCCCCCGCCCAGCTCTCTTCACCAAGGGGCCTGAACAGTTGCTTTAACTGGGACCTGGCCTCCTGCTTCCTCGAGAGTCCCTGCCCTCGCCCCCGCCCGCACTTGGTTGAACAACACCCCCCCACCCCCGCCATCCCCATCCTCGCAGTTAGGAGTCCAATGGCCTCACAGCCTCTTAACAAGTGTCACTTAACAAGTGTCATGCCCATTTATTCCAGCATCCGTCTACACCCGAGGTAATTCCAACCAGGTCATGATTGGTAGGTAGAAACAGCCAATGAGGGCCGAGATAGTACAGCAGGTGGGCTGTTAGCCTTGTACACAGCCGACTTGGGGGCCATCCCTGGCGTCCCATTATGGCCCCACCAGCACGTCAGGAGTGACCCTCCCGAGTTCGGAGTTAAGAGTAACCCCTGAGCACCGCCAAGTGTGGCCCCCAAACAAAACAAAATAAAAAAAAATACCCAGTGAGTTCGAGTTCATTTCAGGGAGGCTGTGAGGACCAGACTTGGGGGTGGGGATGGGGCATGAGGGGTGAACCCCCCCCCCCCCAATTTCACAGCTTTTGCTTGGCCCTGTGGGAGCCCGGACTCACCCTGCCCCCCCAACCTCCTCTCAGTGACCCTGTGACTGTCTCCACACCCTCCCTGATCAGACCCGGGGGTTAATCTTGTCATCCCCGTGGTATTAGTATTAGTCTGTGTTTTAGTTGGTATTAGTCTTTATCTGTGTTTTCAAACTAATTGCTTGTTTAAAATGTCTGTGGGCCACTCTGGGTGCTGCAGTGCTGAGGCCGGTCCGAACTCCCGGACCCGTGTCCCCTGGCTGCGTCTGTCTCTCCGATTGTGCCTGGGCTCTCCAGCCCTCGCTGCCCTTCTGGTCCGAGTCTCCCTTGCTGGAGTTCCCTCACGAGCCCCAGCGGGCCTGTGCCCCCTCACACCACCGCCTTTGCTCAAAGGGTCTCCTCCGAAGGCGGGGAAGGCCTTGCCCAGGGCCAGAGAGATGCCCCGTTAAGCCTGGAGGCCCTGGCCACCCTCCCTGGGTTGCCTGCGAGGGGAACCCCCCGGGACTCTCCTGCCCTCAGCAGAGGGGCAGAGCTGGCAGGGACAGAGCTCACCCAGCGGCCGAGGGGGATCGTCACCCGTTCACCTTGAATCCTGCAAGCCCGCCGCTCTCCAGGCTGGGCAGAATTCAAATGAGCTCTTGCAATCAAATGCAATTAATTGTCGCTCACGCTGGGCCTCCTGGCACCAGGCGCAGCGGAGGGTGGGGGGTGGGGGGTCTGGGAGAACAGGCAGCTCTGGGAGGGAAGGGGGTGGCAGGGGTCTGCACCGGGCTGTTCTGCTTCACAAGAGAGCTGGGCAGGGCTCCCGGGACCTGGTCGCCAGGTGTTGGAGCGGAGGCTAACAGTGGCATCACTTAGAGAGGACATAGCAGACAGTGCTCCCAACAGCCCTGGACGCCACTCCTTTTCCTAGTTCTGGAAGCCAGGCTCAGAGAGGTCAAGAAACTCGTTCAGAGCGCACAGCCGGTCCCAGATGTCGGCCCCCAAATCATATTCTCAAGTTCCGGCCCCCACCCCACCCACCCCACCGTAGGGATTAAGCAGGGGCGCCTCTTAGGGACGGGGGGGGGGGGGGTGTCTGGTGACTGCACCGCTGGGTGCATTTGAGGACCCCGGGGCCAGGCTGTCTCCCTGTCACCCCTCCTGCTCCCACTCAGGCGGGGGGGTCCAGGTACAGCAGTACCCCTTGCTGGGGGGGTCCGTGGCGCCGCACCCCTGCGCGGAAGCGCGAGCTCTGGGACCCCGCAAGCTCTCCTTCCCGGGGCGGGCGGCCCCCTCCTGAGCATTCCCGCAGCCCCAGGTCGGTGCAAGTGTCCGTCCCTCGAGGTCCCCGGACCCCGGGCTGCAGGGGCCGGGCAAAGCGTCAGCCCCGACCTCTGGGGCGCTCGGGCCTCCCCCCTAGCGGGGTCCCGCGGGCCGAGCCGGGCTGTGCGCAGGACGCCCCTCCCGGCGGCTTTCGCGCCGCACCCCGAGGCTCCCCTCCCGGCGGAGCGTCTGGTCCGGCCGCCCGCCCGCCCGTCCGTCCGTCCGTCCGAGCCCTCTCCCGGCGGGCGCGGGGCGCCCCCTCTCCGGCGAGGGCGGGCGCGGGAGCCGCGTCGCCGGCCGCCTGCAGGCGTGTCCCCGCCGAGGGGCGCGCGTCCCTGCGCCGCGGCCGCTCCCCGCCGAGGCGCACTCGCGCTCGGGGCTCCGGGCGCGCCGAGCCGCTCCGCCGCCCCCCGCGCCCCCCGCCGGCGCCCCCCGCGGGAAGGGGCCATGGGCTCGCGGGCGCCCGAGCCGCGGGGCGCGGCGGGCAGCGGCCACTGACGCGGGGCGCCGGCTGCCAACTTCGCGCGCGCCGAGCGGCCCGGCGGCATGAAGACCAGCCGCCGCGGCCGAGCGCTCCTGGCCGTGGCCCTGAACCTGCTGGCGCTGCTCTTCGCCACCACCGCCTTCCTCACCACGCACTGGTGCCAGGGCACGCAGCGGGTGCCCAAGCCGGGCTGCGGCCAGGGCGGCCCCGCCGGCTGCCCCAACTCGGGCGCCAACGCCACGGCCAACGGCACGGCCGCCCCCGCCGCCGCCGCCGCCGCCGCCCCGCTCTACAGCTGGGAGACGGGCGACGACCGCTTCCAGCTGCGCCGCTTCCACACCGGCATCTGGTACTCGTGCGAGGAGCAGCTCGGCGGCCCGGGTGAGTCCCGACCCCGCGCGGCCCCGCGCGCCCCCCGCCCCGGGCGCGCTTCTGCGGGCGCCCAGCCTCGGCCCGGCTCCGCGCGCGCGCTCCGGACGGACCCGCACCCCGCGCCGCCCACCCATTCGCCCCCAGTGCCCGCCCGCCTCCTTCCCCGCCCGCCCGCCCCCAGAAGGGGCTCGGGGGGCCCAGGAATGGGGGTGGGGGAGTTCGGGGCGGCTGCCCGGCCTCCCGGGGAGGGGGCGCGGGGGTGCGCCGTGGCCCGGCAGCCCCCCGGGAGCTCCCACCCGAAGCGGGCGTGGGTTGACTTTTCAGGAGGCGGCAAAACTGCTGCCCCTGCCTCGTCCCCGGTCCGGGCGCATCGCCCCCCCCACGCAGGCTGGGTGCCCCCAGAGTCGAGCCCCTGCTCAGGGCCGGGGACTTCAGGGTGACGCTGGGCCCCGGGGTTCCCCGAGTGCGCTGCCCGGTGCCCCGGGGTCCGCGTCTGTTGCTGCAGACCTCCTGGCCAGGCTGCGCAGGGCACGTGGAGGGAGGTCTCGGCGTGTGCTGGGCGCTGGCCCTGGCGGGGACTCGGGTCAGGGACCAGGGGTGAAGCGGGGAGCTTCACGGGCACTGTGCCCCTCCCCCGCCGCTGCCCCGTCCCCACTCTAGTGCCGCCCTGGCCACAGTGGCAGGCAGGGACCGCGCTGCCCCTTGGAGGTGGAGACGCTTCTGCCACCTCATCATCTCCATCTCACCGGGCACAGCCCACAGTCTGCTGGACCTGCTCTTGGTCACCAGCAAGCTGGCCCTTGCCCCCCCCCCCATGCCCCCAGGAGAGACTGGGGTAGGGGTGGGGCTCCTCCGTGCCAGCAGTCCCCAGCCCCTCAGCACAAATTTGCGAGATGAGCCAGAGACAAACTCTGGGGCACTGCCTATCCCATCTTGCCTCTGGGGGTGCCTCAGGGAACTTTGCTGTGACCACCTGCGCCAGGCTGGCTGCTCCCCGTTTGGGATTGGGGCTCACCCCACAAGCTCCCTGGGTAGACCCACGTCTGCAGAGTACTCTGGGTTCTGGCGTAGGATCGTAAAAAAAAAAAAAAATGATTTCAAACAGCATTTTGACAAAAATTTTGAGTTCCACTCCGCCAGCCGCCCCTACCCCCAGCGAGGTCCTGGGACACCAGCTCCCCCCACTGCAGAGGCCCCCCTGAGTCCCAGCGTAGGGACTTGTTCTCCTGTCCCTTCCGGGCTGGTGGCTCCCGCCCTGAAGGTCAAGGCCCTGATCTTGCCTATCTGTGCCTGTCACTTGCCCAGGGCTCCACTCGGGCCAGTGAGACGAGAACCTTAAAAAAAAATTAATTTAAAAACAATGTGCGCCCTGCGTGTGCACCAGGCTCTGTGCAACTTCTCACTTGCTGGATCTTGTTGGACCCTTGCCAGCCCCCTGCAGGCGGGCAGCCCAGGGCGCCCACCCGCCAGATGAGGCATGGGAGGATCGCAGGGATTCGTGCCGGCCTCAGAGCTGGCTGTGGTCCAGATGGCTTTCCCGGGGGTAGAGAGAAATCAGGGGGAAGTGGGGATGGAAGAGAAACCTGGAGTGAGGGGCTGGAGGATGGGATGACATCGGGTGGGGGCCTGGGGGCCTCAGACCCCACTGTCCCTCTATCCCTTGGGCCCTGTTAGTAGAACCTGGACTGGCTGGGCTGGGTTGGTGGTTCGGCGGTTGAGCACTGGCCTTGCATGTGTGAGAGCTTGAGATTGGTCCTCAGCATCATTAAAAAAGAAAAAAGCCACAGGATGGGTTGTCCGTTGGGTAAATAAAACAGTTTTCTCCTGTCTCTGGAACCCCGTTGGCTAGAGGTTACCCGTCGCAGGAAATCACAATCTTCCTCGCTGGGAGCCTGGGAAACAGTTATCAGCTTGTGTGGGTTTGCGTGAGGCATTTGAGAGCTCTGAGCTGGGTACCTCCCTGGCCCACCGCCTAGCACCCCAGTCACTCCAGGCGTCAGTAAGTACCTCCTGGTCTCAAACTTTTGTTACTATGACAACCTTTCCTCTAGGGACTGAGATAATATTTTTATGTTTCCCTTGAATAGAAAAAAAAACCCACCATCCTAATAACTCCTGACCAGGACCCTGCCTCCTGCCCATCCCACCCCGAGACCCCTTCCAGGATCCACTTCCATCCCTCCAGTCTGCAGAACCCCAGTAAAGAAAGGTTCTAGGTCCTTTCCTGCATTGCCTTCCAGCCTCAAGGCAGTGCCAGCCCTGAGTCTCTCCCGAGAAAGGGAGTGGCTGGTCATTTCTGAACTCAGGAAATCTTCTCCCCTCTCAGGGAAAGCCGCAGGGAAATCTAACGAGCTCTCCACCTCCACCACCACTGAGAATCAAGGGCATGTAGCAAGCGGGTTGCAGACCACCAAAATCCTCTCACCACCAGCTCAGGGCAGGAGAGCGCTCTCCCAGCGAGGGCCCGGGGAAAGGCAAGGAGGCCTGGCAGGGAACACCCCGTCCTGCAGGCAAACTGGGATTCTCTTCTGGTTCAGGTGCTGACAGGGGCATCCGGCAGGTGTGTGGCAGTGTGGCAGGCCAGGCTTTGTGACCACAGCAGTACAGGTGACATGGAACTGGATCTTTGTGTGTGTGTGTGTGTAGTTAGGGAATTGGTGTCCGGGGGCCTGTCCGAGCCAAGACCCTCTCTCCCCATGCCCAGTCTTTCTGGGTGGAGGGGGAACTTCCCCGGCGCCAGGCCAGCTCTGTCCCGGTCCTGAGAAGAGACTCAGGGGTGCAGGTGCAGTCGAGGTGCCTGGTGGGCATGTGTGCGCCTAGCTCTGAGCAGCCCCCCGTTTCCCCCTGGCATATCTGTGCGTCTCCCCCTGCTGCTGCCTCTTCACTTAGAGGCAGGGCCGTGTCATCCCCGGGCCCCAGGCCCCTGCCTGGCCATGCTGCCCCTTGCCCCCGCGCCGGCCTCTGCGCTGGCCCTTCCTTCTAGAACACTCTTCTGGGGGTTGCCACCAGGTGACTTTGGGGAGCTTTGCCAGGTCACTGCTGATCTGAGCTCCCTCCAAACACTAGATTCATAACTGAGACCCGTGGGCTGGGGCCAGGGTTCAGTCACGGCACCTTGTCAGGGTCCCCTGAGCACTGAGCTGGGAGTAGACCCTGAGCACTTGGGCTGCAGGTCCCAACCCAAAATGTTAACCCCCTCCCCGTCCAGTCATCCTGCCTGATCTTTCCTTTGACCCTGGCCCATACTTGCCCTCCACTGTTGAAGTGGGGGAAATACTCCACTGCCTGCGTTTCTCCCGCTGCCAACGTCTCTCGCTGCCCGTGTTTCTCTCGCTGCCCCTCTTCTGGTGGCACAAGAGTGGTGAGGGCACCCCCTACTCCAGGCCAACTGGGACTCTGCCAGCTTTCATCCTCGCCCCGAGCTGGCCTGCCTCACCCACCTCCTTCCTGTGTGGCAGGAAGGACTTCTTGTCCAGATGAGGAAACCAAGACCCGGAGAGATCAGGCAACTCCCCCTGGGGTCAGGCAGCTGCCACGTGCAGGCTGGGAGGTGTGCATAGGTAGAAAGTTCCAGAACTTCCTATGCCCTCCAATTCATCCAGGATCCAGGTCCTGGGACTCCTAGGTGAAATTGCAGGTGATTGGGACAGTCACCAACACCCCTCCCCCATGCCCTTTTCTGTGCCTGTGAAATGCAGGCTTGTGGGAACAGTGGAAGTAGCAAAGCACCTTGCGGGTGCAGGTTTTGGGGGCAGAAAGTGGACACCTGCCTGCTGGGTGATCTTGGGTTGGAACTTGCCCTCTCTGGACCTTTGTTTCCTTGGCTGGATTTTGAAGGGGAGCAGGGCGGGTCTCTCTTTTCTTTCTCTTCCAATTTGCTCTTTTCATATAGGAAAATGTAACAGATTTTTGCCATTGATTTTTGAGCCTACGATTTTGCTGCATTTTGTTTATTGTTTTTTTTTTTAATTGTTACTTAGGGAGTTTTAGGGGAGTTTTTAGTTTTATTTGTTTATTTATTTATATTGTATCATATCATCTGCAAATAGTGATAGTTTTTTTCCCCCTCCAATTCGGATCCCCTTGATTTATTTTTCTTGCCTGGTGGCTGAGGTGAGAACTTCAAAATCTATATTGAACAATAGTGGGGCTGGTGGGCATCCCTGCCTGCCCCAGATTTCAGGAAAGACTTCAGCTCTTCACCGCTGAGTGTGACGCTTGCTGTGAGTGGTTATAAATGGTCATAACTGTCTCAAGGGTGCCCCTTGATTTTGTTGTGAGATTTTATCATGCACAGATGCTAAATCTTATAGAAAGCTCTTTTGGTTTTAACTTTGAGCCATACCCAGTGGTACTCAGGTTTTATTCCTGGCTCTGTGCTCACTCCTGGCAGACCTGGGGAGTCACGTGGGATGGCAGGGATCGAACCTAGGTCAGTCTCACGCCAGGCAAGCACCTTACCCGCTTATCTCTCCAGCATGAATCTTGTAAAAAGCCTTCTCTGCGTCAGTTGTTACTAGCACGTGCTCTTCATCTTTCCTCTTGTGACATGGTGTATTACATTCATTGACTTGCACACATCGAACCATCCTTGTATCCCTGGGATGAATCCTACTTGATCCTGGTATGTGATCCTTTTGATGTATCGTTGGATTTGGCTCTCTTGGATTCTGTTGAATCTTTTTGCATCAATGTTCATTAGGCATATCGGGCTGTAGATTTTTCTTTTGTAATTTTTAGGCTCTGTGATTTATAATGCTGTTAATGGAGGTTTCATGCATGCAATGTTCCAATGCCACACCTGCGAGTCCCCCCGCCCCGTAACCTTCTCCCCATTGTATTGCTTTTAGTGTTGTTGTGATGTCTGTTTTATAGAAGCTACTAGGATGCGCTCCTGTTTGATATTTTGGAAGAGCTTAAGGAGTAGGGGAGTAAGACTTCTCGGAAGCATAGGTAGAACTCACCAGTGAACCCATCTGGCCCTGGATGTTTGTTCTTGGGGAGGTTTT